TATGAATCGTCGCACACAGCTACCAATCACGCCTCACCTAATATAACTATTGATTTTTTCGGCAGTTTTGAAATTTTAGTTGTTCATTGCGCTTTTTCTGTTCGTCCGAAGACGAGTTGGGGCGCCAAACTCGAAAATTCACTCAGTAAAGTTGCTTTTTATCCCAAAGAATATCTTCTTCAAATTAAAATTTCTTGGGATGCGTGTGTTCCAGTTTATACGAATAAAAAATCTGTTTTTGCAATCGAAAGATAATCTTTTCCAAGCAATTAATCTAAAGAAGATGTAGTCGTCCACCTAGAAAGTAAACCACAGCTCATTTTTGCACAGGTTCTCAAGGAAATATATGTAAATTCCTGCGATGGCTCTAGATTGAACTCTCAGGCACAACGGGACGAACGTGTTCCCTACCAGATCGGTAAGGGCCCTACTTCGATCATATTCCCGATCACAATTGACGAACGTAAAGAGCCCGTAGCTCACTGGTAGGATGTTTTGCTCTATGACCACAGATCGTGGGTTCGAATCTCGGGTGATCCACACCTGGGATTGGCTATGAATGGCTGATGGCGGCTAATACGCCAGAAATGGCCATTCCGGTCTTTTCGGATCCACTCCATCATATGTCTGAGGTTGTTAAGCGACAGTCTGATATCACTCAAGTACGAGCCTTAAGACACACCGGGACAAGTATATGCCCTTACCAGATAGATCGGATGCACGCCCCAGTTCCGTCATATTCGCGATCACAACCGACAAAGCAACGAGCCCGTGATGCAATGGCAGAGCGGTAAACATAATGACAAGTGGTCCAGGGTTCTAATCTTGGGTGATCCACACCTGGGATTGGGTATGATTGGCTGATGATGGCTAATAAAGCAGAAATGGCCATTTAGGTCCCCTTATCTTTATCAGTTTCACTTCAAACATATGCGTATTTGTGATTAAAAGGTGTGCCCTAGCGAGGCTCATGGTTTAAATTTAAAAAACCAGAAGGTGTTTCGGTGAACGACCAAGGTTAGGCTTTGTTGCCATATTGGTCGCAGACGAACGGGTGGAGTTGCTAACATGGGCACCTGTGGAGCGGTATCCAACAGTTGACAGAAAAAAACATTCGGTCCTAGAATAAACTGGTGCCGCACACACTGGTCTGTTTGTGCGGCTGATGTTCACTGCAAAGAGTTTTAGCTCTCAGATGAATATTATTCGAACTAAAGTGGTTCCTGTCGTGTGACTGCCTATGTCATGAAATGTCGACCAGAATTCTGAAATGTGTTTTCGGAATTGAACAAACCATTTAACTAGCATCGTATTATCGACTATCGTGCTGCTTATCTCAAAATGTATAATGACGGCTTTTGAGGGAGCTTCTGTCTGGTCACCACCCATATTCCATAATAGATTTTCATTGCTTTTATTAATTCAAGGTCGATCAAAATTCTGAAAACTTTTTTTCGAACGGAAAAAGGGGGTTCTTAATCGAGGTTTGAATACTGATTATCATGTGGCCTTAACCCAAGATATTTTATTCATATCACAATGTCAGCTTCTAAACAAGCTGTCTAGGCCATACTGTGTAACAATTGCTACTTAAGTAGTATGCATTCTTCTCATTGATTTACAATGCCCTCATAAATTCCAATATACTTTATAGAAAAAGTTTTTTTCATGTACTCGCGTGGTAGCAGCCTATGCCTTCTTCTGATTTTATAGTTGAACTTTAATTCTCGATTTTGAAAACTTTCTACATAATTTTGAATCCTATCAGCCGTTATATTTGCACTGTAGGTATCCAACCTACATGCTGGATATATATTGTCTAAGAAAACATTGATATTTGTCTTCACCAGAAGGAAGAGGTCACATGCTTCTCATAAGATTTTGCAATATATGTGGGTCATGTTGTTTGCAGCATAGACAACATTGACAGATACGATGTACATACAACACCCTCATTACATTTGTGATACGAAATGCTCATCCGACGCAACTTTAATCTAAATAAACGGTCTACCGAAATCAAGTGAGTAGTAAGTTTTTGTTTATTTATGTCAATAAATGTCCGCTTCTTTTGGCTCCAGGTGGTCGCGAAGGTGGATGAGGACATGTGCGTCAATTGTGGCAAATGTTACATGACCTGCAACGACTCCGGTTATCAGGCCATCACCTTCGACGCCAAGACACACTTCCCCTTCGTCACTGACGAATGCACTGGCTGCTGTCTTTGCCATTCCGTCTGTCCAATTCCCGACTGCATTACAATGGTGGAGCGGCAGATTCCCTATGTTCCGAATCGTGGCGTTCCACCGGGAACACAATGCAACGAGGCTGAAAAGAAAAATAGCACTCCATACATGCCCTGAACGCTTGTTTAACGTAGATTGCCTGTTCCGCTGCCAATGGTTACCTGTGCTGTCCACTTCGCACATTTCGTTACTACAATTTCGTTATGCTGAATCAACCGCTATTCGGACCTTTATTAATGTGCATGCTACTAATATCCAATAAATATTAGTAGCCCACATTTACCAATGCAGCGGTGCCGTTTTTTCACCTTGTTTCTTTGATGACGAAGATGACACCCAGTAGCAATATCTCCTTACTATTTTTGTGGTTATTAGTCGGTCAAGTTAAGTTTATGCCCTCCTTTAATCATACTTGAAATAAGCAGACAAATTACCTTTTCGGTGTGGATTATAGATGGACATCAATAGTCAACGAGAAGCTAATTAACTCAAAAACTGTTTGTCTGTATAACACCATTTAAAAAGAATCGTGACGTTATAACTAGGGAGTGCTTATTTTGGTAAGATGTACGGGTCAGTACTATTGATTGTATCAACTAACGTGGACGCTTCCATGTAAGTTTAGCCAACCACTAAAGAAAAGGGAAGTGCAATAAAATGAAAACCAGACAGACTGAATGTCGATCAGAATAATGAGTTAAGAAGCCTAAAGTGTGGCCAGGAGTATAGCGAACTAGAAGGAAGACCGAAATGAATAATTTGGATACCTGAGCTTACCACAACTAAAATCTGCCTCACCACAAATGGTCAGCTGAGTCAACCCTTGACCGCAGCCGCGAGGTCAGAGTTCCTCAG